CCCCAAAACCCCAAAACCCCAGGAGTAGTAAAAACACAAAAATTACGTTCGAAACTTTGATGAATTTAAATGAAATTTTAAGTTTAAGTCTAAGTTTAATAATTTAAAGCTGAAAATAGTGAAGAATTAATCGAAATATTATCAAAAATTTAGAAGGATTACTATATAAAATTAATATCTTAAATGATAATAGCTGAGACTCTTACTGTCATATTATTTGTATTCTTGAGATCCTATACTTCCCAGACTTGCAATACTGGACTCTTTTTTAATAATGCTACTCTCTCCTGTGACTGTAAATACTGAAAATTAATTACTTATAAGATTGCAGCGAGACTTGCAATGAATGCACTGATTATTCTACCTGCATAAATTGCAAAAATACATAATTATAAAAGCTAGAATCAGGGAGTTGCCAATTTTGTCAATAAAATTTCTATTTAAATGAGGTAAACAAGTGTGAAGGTAAGGTGATGCTTATGTTTTTAAATAATTTTACCTTAGAATGTTCTTGTCCTGTCAAAGGCTCAAAATGTATTGATGGAAATATTTGTTTGGAGTGTGACATTAATCAAATTTTTGACTTAAACCTCCTTAAATGTGTCGATAAATGTCCAAATTAAGACGAGATAGCAACTATTCCATATCACCCTTACCTAAAGAGATAATTCAAATATTGCAGATGTAAATTTCTTAAAATTATTATATCCTAGCTTCAAGAGTGTTTGTTGATCCTTCATCAAATAATTATTTAGAACTTGGAACATTATATTATCCATTTAAATCTATGATCTCAGCTTTGGTTGAATTGTTCAACTATCTACAAGCTGATAAGAAATCTTATGAAATATTGATAAAAGAAGGAGAATTAGAGAAATTAAGTGGACTTTAAAGTGAGCATTTAATACTCAACACTCTTGACCTTACTATAAGGTATACCTTTTGAAAATTATATATTTAGGACGTATGCAGTAATGGATCCTAATTAATTAGGAATATAGTCCATCATATATATTTAAACTAGCTCTGTTTATGCCCATTAACCATACTTTAGATTTTCTCTTATTGGAGACCCAGCATATAACATAACTGCGAAAATTCAACAAGGCTTGTTAACAGAAGCTGAGTTGAATTTGATATCATTAAAATCTGAGCTTGTTATCATTAGAAGCTCGGTGAAATTTACTAATCTTCTCATTAAGAGTAATCATCAATTTTTTTCTCCAGTTTAATAAATTTGCTTTCTTAGATAAAATTAGTGAGAGTAATGAAGAGAAAAGATTTTTATTCTTATATGATATTTAACACAGAGCGATTTCATTTGAGGT